ATACCGAAGACAACAAAAATCATTTTCTGTAAGTTGCGAATTTCGCGCACCGTACATGTCGGGTTCGTTAGCACCAGGATCTTTCAGTCAAGGGTTAGTGAATCGAAGATGAGCGTTACTTGTTATATAATAGATTTATGAAATGTCTGATGAAAGTTATTCTCCATTGAAACAGTACAATCTTAGAACAGCAGGATTTAAACGTAAACGTCAACATTCAAGTGGAGATTTTCGAGATTTCCGCAAAGATTTCGTTCAAGATTCTAAGAAAGAAATCGTTCATATTCAGCATCACATTCACATAGACCCATATTGCTGAGAATTTTCACAGAATTTCTTTTTTCATAACGTGGTTTCAAAGTACTACGCTTCGATATAACAAGCTCTGCACTGGAGAACGTTATCGGAAAATTGAACCAGATGGCGATTTAATTATGATTTACTTACATATATTCTTCTTTCCCATATCGCTGAGAACTTCCCTCACATGGGCTTCTCTCCCATACGAATTCTCAATTTTTTTTAGTTTTGTGTGCAAAACTCCTATGATGCTGATCAATCGAACTCTCTTCTCTGCTAAGAAACCCTTTTTCTCTCTTCGTCAGCTTTAAGATTTCAACTGAATAGAAGAATTCTTGGTATTAATTTATATCAGCAAATACTTCTGTTTTTCCTAACATTTGTTGAGAGCTGCTCCGTTTGAGTCCTCATATCACAACCCAATTGCTATTGTATCACTGGATGCCTCTGAATTTATTGTTTCGAAAAAAAAACGGCTTCATCGCGTAGAAAATCGTAGTGTAGTAGTATTATGATGGAAGTTAGGCTTCGTTTTCTGTCTTCGTACGGAAACTGATGGTCTTCAGTCTCGTTAGTGATAGAGGTGATGCTATCTGTAATTTCAAATGTACCCCAGAATGCCCAAAAGACAATATATAATTGCAGCGCCAATCATTATCCATCCTACAATAATCTCTTTCATTACCAATAACGGTCGCTGCCATCGTACTACGGGGTTCGCATTCGCAACAGAGCGTTTATCGTAGAAACAGGTGACATTTGTTTCTACCTAAAAGAAAAATTGCAAACTATTGATATAACTGACTATACGTGTCTCTAGTAATCACAACGAACACATACTTGTGCAAATGAATAGTCTCTGTCTGTCACTATATTGGCCATGGCACTTACATTTGTTGTCGAAAAGATAACAGCATACGAATATAAAATACATGTTTCGTGTGTGTAATCACATCCAGAAATACGACACTGTTTGTATTCACACGTACTTCCGAATATAGTAGAATTGATTACACTACATGCAGTTTGAATGTACTGTTTTTGAATATGTTTAACTTTAAAATAGCAAGAAAGTCCGATTGGACCAAGAATGATACCGCCGATAAACAGAAAAAGAAAAACTGGCCAACTAACAGAAGAGTTAGCCATAGACAATGTAACTTTCTCTATATGTGTGAATGGGCTATTAATATCAAAGCGATAGTGTCTTATTTTAACGTATACAATTTACTTTTAAGTATAGTATCTTCTTCTTTCTCTTTTTTTTGCTTCGGGGAAAATACCGATTCAATATTGCATCGTTATTACTCATTTTGTTTATCTCTTTTCCACAATCGAAAAAATGGGTCAGAGTATCAAATGAATACTAATACAACATTATTTCCAAAATTGAGTAATCGTTTAGGAGCCGGACCGAAAGATTTCAAAAAGGTGTTCATAATAAAAGCAAATAGAACCTATGTTAAAAACGAAGACTGAAAAATTAGAGCAGAAGTCCGTGAAAGGTTCGGGATAACGGTATCCTAATAACTCTGAAGTTTTTCTAGTTCAATCAACAATTAAATTCAACTGAAAATGAACGTAGCTTAGACGGAAGTAGTGTGATCCGAATTACTATCGAAGGTTTCGAGCATATCTGTGAAACAAGCGTAATGAAATCCAAGTTAAAATAAAATTTATTTTAAATCAAAACAAAAAGCTACAAGCGTACAGTAAGGCTCTGAGCATCTTGAACATCTACTGGACGCTCTTGATTACTGATATTTAAATCAGGCAACGATGTCATAGTAAAAATATTCTCCATCTGTTCTTGTTGCTTCTTCTTCGTCGCAGTAGCAGTTTTGTCGTGATACAGCTTGCGAGCAAATGTCCATACTCGAGTAGCACAGTAAACTAGGAGAAGTGTGATTAAGAATAAGGCATAACATCCAACCATTATCCATCCAACGATCATCATAATCATATAGGACTTATAACTGGGCCGCGTTAGACGTACATTAAATACGTTACGTTTTTCGTAGAAACATATCATATTCATTCCTTTTGTTACGGGCATTAGTGAATTCACAATGACTTTCGGCGGCTTATCAATTGTCGTTTGACGTGTGATATTCCATGTAGTATTGTAGGAAAGAGTATAGATTAGATGATCACATTTGTAAGTGATCAGTGTACAGTATTCGTCGCATGTGTATGCTTGACATTGTGTCTGTGGATGAAATGATGTTGAGTCTACGAGTTGACAGGCAGTTTCCTGATACATCTCAGGTTTGTATTTTGTTTTCAAATATTTTGATGTACCGTATGGACCGAGAATTATACCCACTAGGAACATGAGTGTACAGAGAACGGTCGTACACCATAGTAATGTAATTGGGCACGAAGGCATCTTCTTTCTTGGTGATCAATAAAAAGTAATGATAGTTGTATGATTTCGTCATGCTCTCGCTCCGTCCAGAGTAGAAAGAAAACGGAAAGACGTGTAGAGTCATACAGGTAATTGTTGGAATTAGTCATATTCATGCAATACTTTTATCTTATTTTTACGATATTATGATGCAGTATCTATGTTATAAAATAAATAGGATGGGATTGCTGATAAATGCAATGAGTCTGAATGGGATCTCACAACTATTGTTGGTCGGTAATGCCCACACACACATTTTGCGGTGAAACGGGTAAAAAGTCTAACAGAGGCTTCAGGCAGAGAGTCACTGAGGGATTTTCATAGGAACGTAGTGAACTACAGTCTTCGGAAATTACTCAAAATTACTTCTGATTGTTAATTCGTATTCTAACCCTTCACACAAAATTTATATTTAACTTTGAAAAATATAACGTTTGACAGAACACGGCATGTGCAGATAAAATAGAAGTTACATATATACATTTTATGTCAATATCGCTTCACTTTGCCATTTCTTCGAATCTATAAATCATCTGAAACTAGACATGTACAAAGCCGGAGCCAAAAATGTAGAGAATTGTATTCTCTACAATTTATCCTCGGATTACAACTTGATCAACTTGAGTACAAGTTCATTTTCCCTGTGAAAAAGTATGAAAACCGTTTTTTAGTCTGAAGAGCGACATCCAGAGATCATAAAAAGTTTAGAAAACTGCATTTGTTATAAATTAAAGCCTCTCTCCCCTTTGCTACAAATCAAAGCCTCGAAATTCATCCACTATTAGGGATCAAACTACTATCCGTTCCAAAATACAAGACAAGCGATTGGTTTTTGAATAATTTTCGATACAAGATAGATGACTCAGAGATCGCATTTTGAGCAGATATTTAGAAAACCAGTTTGGATTTCGGAGAACTGACATAGAAATAGTCTAACCTTTGAAATTTGCTCTTTAGAAACTGTTTAGTCAAACCCGAAAAAAATCCGATGTCGGACTCTACTTTCTAGAAGTCTTCGTACTGTTTTGCCATCGAATGAAGTAAACTCGAAAACTATGAAAACATAGGTTATCAATTACGTTGAATCTTATGGCAATATGTTTTTTTCATTCAAAAACTTAGTAATAACGTCTGTTAGGTAAAAAATCGAGTTTTGGCTATTTTCATGGAAAATTAAAAAAAATTCAGAACTCACTCCTCAAGATCAGTCCAGACTACTTCAAAACATCAAGATAAACTCTCTTTTATCCTCGCAATTTGATTCTGTACTTCGAACTAATAAAAAAGCATCATTTTCTCACAAAGAACTATCTTTTTAAAACCCACAGTTTTTGAAAACTTTTCTTGAATTTGGACATATCGCGTAGATAAAATACTGTTTATCTCCAGTGCATTAGTAAAACTTTGCTTGACTCCTGTTTTAATCAAGATATTTCAGGCTCTCTACACATGTAAAACAATCAATATTTAAAATTTTGCTATAATGAACAATTTTCTCCCAAGAAATCCTAGTTAAAATAAACTATTTTTGAATTGCTTTCCATTATGAACAGATTCTCCAGTGTCTCGTTTATTGAATAGCGAAAACTGTCGTTCTCATCCTTTTTTTGTTTTGTTTTTATATGATAAAAAATAGTCAGTTGCATCTTAATATGGTAGAATAGATAGTATTAATCATAATTTTAGTTAAAAACCTTATGTAATATGTTTAATATTAATTAAAGAGTTTTGTTTATTTTAGATGATCGTTTTGAATTGAAAGATTTGAATCAAAAGGGGTCTCTGTCATTTTTAACATTTGTTCCATCCAACGTTGATTATCTTCTTACGTGTTTAAAACATTCACGTCTAACAACAGTATCAAAAATTGTTGGCGTCTATCATATTCAATATCCACATTCATTAACGGGAGAAAATATTAAACGGGATATTCCTGTCTTAGAAAATTTATTTTATCCACCATATAAATCGTCATCAACAATTATTCACATAAAATCAACAATTCAACATAAAGATTCGGCAATATATACATCACTGGATAGAAGAAGTCTTCTTCTACAAGGTCACACATATCCCGTTCTGTAGTGAAAATCTTATAGTCGCCTTTGGCTCGTTTAACGAAACGATAGTTTTTTACTGCTTGTGGTTCAGGGGCGATTAAACGAGAATTTAGCACCGCTGACCAGTTTGTTAACAAAACATTGCTCAAGCTTAGATCCATCTACAGTTAACTTTTACGTTCGCTCGAAAATAATGAAAAGAAAGATTAATCTTATGAACAAGATATTTCTTGTGAATATTCTTTTCTTCGTTTTGCTTTAATTTATGTTTAAAAATTCTAGTCACAGAAATGGCAGATTTGTTCAAATGTTCTAAGTTGAGCAGAGTTATCTGGCTGTGCTGCACACTATCTTTTGATATACCGTAGATGTATCATATGTAGGACAGCAAAAATTCCCATTGCGTTGATTTAACGCTAACTGAAAACACAATTGCCGTTAAAACAACGGTAACTGCGTTTCCAGTTACTGTTAAAATATCGCTAATTATCAGTTAGTTAACGTTGTGGTAACTGTCTTTTAAGTAGGGCAGAGATTTCCAAGCAGCGGTTTAAAAGGGCCCTCCAAAATAGTTAGTTTTCCACTAAAACTTTTGAAACTTTCATAAATGACATGATTTTGATTGGCACACACGTGTCAGTCAACTAAACTAATCGAAATTATATAACTTCAATGTTTTGTAACTGCGGTTTTTAAGGTCTCTGGAGACCTCAGTATCTACAGCCCAGCTTGAGAAATCTTTTTGTTTTCATCAAGAAACTAGACTACAAAACCATGGCATTTATGAAAGTTTCAACAGTTTTAGGGGAAAACTAACGACTTTGAAAGTCATTTTAAGCCGCTGCGTGGATATTTCTGCATACTTAAAAAATAGTTACCACAAAGTTAACTAACTGATAGTTACCGCTGAAATAACGGTAACTGGAAACGCAGTTAGCGTTAAAACAATGGTAACTGATAAGTTAGTTACCGTTATTTTAACGGTAGCTGTATTTTCAGCTAGCATTGTCGATAACGGCTGAAGAAGTAACAGGAACTTTTACAGTCCTAATCATATGCACTATTATTTCATTTTCTCCCGTTACTGAATATCGATATACATTTTACTGTAAGTTGTACAACTAAAATTAATTGAAACATACAGAAAGTAATATGTATTTCATGCAGAAAAGGAAAATTCGTATGTCCCTCGTGATATATTATATATGTCGATATATATATAATCATTTCATCTGAATTGTATCTGACAGCTTTTTAATAACACTCTGCTATTGCACTACAACTAATACGTTCAAACGAGAAAAAATACATTTTACTCATTCTCGATTAAGAAGTCTTTTTGAAATATACATCCTTTTCTCAATCCTAGTTACACCCTGAATAACCAAGTCATTCAGGTTATTCATATGAACTGAAGGTATTCTAACACTTTATTTTTCTCAATACGTGTAACGTGTGAAAATTTTTAATGCCTTGTAATGCCTTAAAAGGCTTTTAAGACTCTAACAGTTATCAGATGTTGAAAAATAAGGCGTTCAAAGATATTTTCATTTCTCAATTAAAGGCTCTCTGGCCTCAGAAATGGTGATTTTCGGTCAAAAAATCGGTTTTGAGATAAGTACATGGAAATTCTACTACACGTAACGCACAAATCGCTAAAAATCGCTACTGATATGTTAAATGAAGATCTGAAACTTGTGCATGAGTGATCGGTACTTTGGCAGTTAGATTTGAACGTTAAAAAATGCGAGCCAATGACCTTTAGTAAACATTTAGTAGACACTTCTCAGTATCCGATCGTAATAAATGGAGTTTCTCTTTCAGATGTGGAAAATCATAAACATTTAGATTTTTTCTTGACGTCGCAATTAAATTAGCGCAAACATATAGAATATGTAGTCGCGCGATGTAATAGGATCTTACATTTAACATACCAATACAAGAGTAAGTTTCAAACGATCGTATTAGATCAAATCTATAAATGTTGTGTTTATCCTGTAATACTGTACGATTCGAGCGTTTACTCAGCCACTACTGCGAAGAATTTGTCATTAATCTCTACTCTTCAATATAAGTTTGCCTTAGCTGTGAGCGGATGCTTAAGATTAACTAGCAGGAAAAAAATCTTGCAAGTCCTA